ATATATATATATATATATATATATCCACCTTCTTATTGCGGGCTTTGTAAGTATAAAGCCACAACTCAAGTCTACTACAATTGGTGTTATCTTTGTCTTAAATGTGCTATTAGCGTATATGTACATTGGTGAGTTTTAATTAGGTCTAATTGTGTAAATTATAGAGTAGGTTTTTCAAGATCATACCTCTTTTGAATGTTGTAATGCTTACATAATATCGCTAAGTTAAATTTTTATTGTATTTGTAAAGAGCCTTAGTGAAGATGATTTTGTCTTGATAGTTTGTTTTGAATGAGCATTGCATATTAACTTAAATATAATTTTTGTTGTTTATTATGTTATATGGATATTTGTTTGGTTTACTTACCATTCTCTTCTTTATTTAGTTAGTTGAATCTTTGGGTTGACACACACACACACACTTGACACAAAATTGCGATGACGTGCACATCTTCCTAGCAAATTTGAGATGGATATAAGGTGAACCTTATGTTTCATGGCTTTTAATAAAAAAAAATTGTAATGAAATATATTACCTTCATATTTAGAGATCATGAAATCCGATAATGTTATTATGGGCTTATCTTTGATCATGTCATAAAGAATTGATCCTTTTTTATGCTCATGTTCTTAAATAAAGTTACACGTAGAGGCATGCTACTATATAGTAAAAGAAAAAATATCGATTTTTTTTCTTAAGCTACAATAAGTATCATGCGTATATATTTTGTCCACTATAGTGATTCCCCACCTTTTGCCTGGCTTGTTAAGTAAGTATTATGTAAATACTTTTTTGTCAATCATAATGATTTTCCTCTTCTTGTCTAATTTGTTTTATCTTGTAATATAGTTGATCAATAGCTTCACGTTGACATTGCAAGGTTATATGTATTTAGTTATATAATAAGTTTATGACTCCTTTAGTATTTGAAGAATAAAATATAAATTTTTATAAGATTAATTAATATTTCTTGTATCTTCTATGAAAAATACTTATTGATTGGAAAAAGTTGTTTAATATGCTCTTGAATGGGAAATCAGTTGGTGCTTCTTTGATAGATATGTCTCTTGTTAATATCAATTCAAGTGATCCATGTAAGTTTATGAATTTTGGTTTAATTTCATTCACTTTTCCATTTAAAATGAAAACAACTAGATCCTTTTGAAGAATATCTCTGAACTTTTTAATAGTTTCTTCATACGTAATACATTATATTTTTTTACCCTATGAATATTACTAAAATCAGAGAATATTTTTTTACCCTAT